CTCCAAATTCATCGACTCAATATGCAAAGTGCCAGTCTAAGGGATTTTCAACAACTAAGTATCTCTCCTACACTTTACATAGAAATAGAGCTCCTTGAGTTCAGACTTGCTATTGTAGTACTAAATAAAGCGTCCAGGGAGGAGTCCACCTGTGATATTTTCTTTCCACTGCCTTGGTGAAGAGAGGATGAGCTGTTTGGAAGACAGGCCACAGCCTTCTTATGATTGTCATTGATTGTTTAAAGGCCATGGAGGACAGAATAAATGAGAAGCTAACTTCACGCATCCCAGACATATCAAAACAATGGTAGCCAAACTTGCAATGTTTTCTCCAAGCATTACACTTGAAAGAACCATCATAAGCCTTCAATCTGTCTGCGTCAGAAATGAATATTCTTTCATGATTGCAGAGGGTGCCACGGATGCTCACAAACTGCATCACTGTCAGACGCACTCAGGGAAGCAGTTTAGAATCAGGCCTGGGTTTGTTTGCAGGTTGGAATTTACAACAGTATTTATCACTCTTCCTTACTGACATCCCCCTCCTTGAGATTTGGCAGTCTTGGCTACCAAAACCCCAAATGCAAAACACAGTGCATTCCCCTTGGTGTAGCAGGACCTTCAGGGCATTTTGGTCCCCTCAATCCCTGACCTTGTGTGAGAGGTGGAGAAACAGGAACAGTTTTCTGCCACCAAAACCCTGTGCCACCTCTGGAATGGCCTCATCTCCTTCCTCGCAATAGGGAGCAGCCCAGGGGCTAGAGGGAAGAAGTTGCGACACCTGGGCCAGGCCTGTGGCAAGCCAGCCTGTCCCCCAGCAGGCAGCTGGGGAAGGGGGGGCGTGCAGCTTGGCCTCAACGCGGCTTAGTCAGGCTCCAATGCTGAGCTGAGCAGCAGATGTGCCCAGACCTGCCAGGTGTCTGTGTCTGGGCTGGGAGGGGACGGAGCAAATGTGACTCTTGTCTTTCAGTGCTTCCCGGCACCGTCCTCAGAGGAATGTGGAAGACTCCAAGTGAGGCCACCTCAGAAGACTTTCGACAGAGCCACAGCTCTCTGCCCACGCTGCCATGTCAAAAGCCTTTCCCTGTCCTGCCCCTTTGGCCCTCAACATAGTCCTCCTGCCAACTGCCCCAGGGCTAGCTCCTCCTCCAGGCCACTGGTAAGCTCAGGAGGGAGACAGCTACCCACCTGCCCTGCTGTAATACGCTGTTCCCATCAGTGGTGCCCAAACCTCCATAGGTAAAGGTGGGGTTTTTTTTTCCCTTTTTAACACGATGATCCCATGATTAAAAATACCCTTTTTTAATTAAAAAAATTTTTTTTCAAGTTCATTTGTCCCCACTGGGGAAGATTTTTCTTGTGAGAATTAGTTTCCCAACGAGAGGCTATTCTGAATTTCACAGAACTATTAACAACTAGATGGAGACTTATCAGGGTATAAATATTATAGATGTTTACCAGCCCATTAGTGGGCTCTGAATCCAACACACAAAGGTTGTTACTCGTCTCTGTGTGGCTTCTGAGAATTCCATTTAACGGTTAGGCGGGCTGTGAGCCATTCGCCACCAGGAGTCATATTCACTCTACAAATGTTTACTGCACACCTACTATATACTACAAGCCCAGGCCTCAAGAAGACATCCCTGTATACAGCAGAGGGTGCAAATGAACAGCACATAGGCCAGATTCAGCCCAAAAACATATTTTGTTTGACTCACACCATATTTATCAAAAATTTGAATTAGTTGCCAACTTTTAAATATCAGAATATTTCCAGCTTCTCTTGCAAACTCGGGAAATCTGGCAAAAGTGAGCCCACATTCCCAGCTGATGACAAGCAGAACAACAACTGATCACCTCACACATGCACTGGCTCTCGGTTCACACAACCCCCACCTGCCCTGCTTCCCCTGACGCAACCTGTCCCACCCCTCAGTATACACCAGTGGTTCTCAGGATGGGCAATCTCAGCACACCCACCTCAGGAAAGGCCTCACTCAGGAAGACAGCAACCCAACCAAGTCTCTCATTTAAGAAGAGCTGCTTCATGCCTCCATAAGAACAGGTCACAGGGATTTTCTTATTTTGTGCCTTCTCGACTTTTACCCTTTTCAATAAAGGTCTTTTTAATCCCTGGTATCAGTGAAGACATTCCGTTTTTCGTGCTTGCTACAACAAAAAATTGGACACAAAAGAAAAATGGCAAGGTGGAAGCACAGAAGCACATAGAAGCAAAAAGGGAGGACTCGTGAGAACAGGGTAGGTCCTCAGGATGCCCCACTTGCCAGATGAAGAAGCTGAGGCCTAGAGACAGGAAATTCATGCCCAGGTCCCATTACTGACCAGTAGGAGAACAGAAGCGTGATCTGGACGATCTTTACCCAGCCGGTGCCACATTCTTTTCTATATTCAAGGATGGTTTCTCCGTCCCAGGTTCTGCTTACATGTTTCCAAGGAGTGGCAGAGAAGCCCATCAAATCTGGGAATAAATATGAGGACTGATTTCAGGAGTCACATTTATCAGGTATAGGATTCTAAATGAACCTGCAGAAGATTAATTCGCAATTTTCATCTAGTCCTACTGATTCCATATATGGGGGTCCAAACTGTCATATTTGAAGAAATGTGTATGTGGATCCCAGTGGTGCAACTTGGGAGAGGTGGCCTATTTTCACCTTTTCAAATCGTGTATTGCCAAAAATCCTCCTTGTCTGTAACCAGAAAGAGTTAAACAGGTTGATCGTGATATTTGTTGCTAGTGAAAAGTTTTACTAAAATATAATTCAGTTGCCACACACACAAAGATACTGACAAAAACCATCAGTCAGACAGAACAGATTAAAGGTATTTAAGTGGGCCATTGTCTGGGTCTTAGACATTTCAGTGTATTTATAATAAGCATATACGGCCATTCAATAATACTGCAACCAAGGACTCCTCTGGTAACAAATTTAAATTAATTACAAAATCAGTTTTATGTGCAGGAGAAAGGAAGGAGAACAGCGTTTGCAGAACAGAAACTATCTATTTAGCTCTACCAATCCAGCCAGAAACAGGGCTTCATACCTACTTTTAAAGATGAGGACAGTATGAGGCCTAGAAAGCTGACTTTCTCAGTTTCCAGTTGCGCGAACCAGCTACACCCAAGCCATTCTAACTTCAAAACCTGAACTTTGTCTGCTGCAGCAACTCATAACACAGAAGCCACTAAGATGAGTAATGACCAAAGAAGTTAAGACAAGGACACATCACAACCAGGCTAGAGAATGTAATAAGCACAATTAGAGAGGCAGATACAAGTGCTTGGGGGTCAGAAGAGGACAAAAGCACACAGAGTGGAGGGTTGGTGGATCAGGGAGGGCTTCTGAGAAGCAGTGACATTTGAGAAAGGTCTTGAAGGATGCACTGTGTTTACAACAAGCAGAGAAGAGCAGCAAGGAGAAAGGTCGAAATGCTGGGCGTGGGTAGGAGGAGGACACAAACGGAAGGTAAGCAGTTTAGGTTTGGAATTCACAAAGAGAAGCTTCATAATAAAGTCAGCCATGTGAGAAAATGAATCTTGCCACCACCTGTAAGGCAGGGAGGGCAGAGTCCATCACATGAGGCCAGGCAACCTCATACCTGCGAGGAAGGGCACCACACTGCAGACCCAGGACATGGCCAGAACGTCAGCTATGTGTGTCCAGCCTGCAGGGCACAGGCAGCTCTCACAGGGGCTCTCTGGACCCCATGAAGCCCAGATACTTTCTTCCACAAGCACCATGGTCGCTCCTTTCCCTCCTCTTCCATTCAGAGACCTGCGCCATTCGGAGCTAGGACCAGTACCCTCCGTCTGAATGAGTGCAACTCGCTTCTTTTCCCCTTTCATCTCACATCTTTTTCCACAATGTGCAAGGGTTTTGTTTCCCTCCAAGGACCTCCACTAGCAGCAAGGTAGGTGGGTTAACTTGGGGGAGAAGGAAGTAGGATTCCCCCAAATCCAGCCTTCAGAGAATCCTTTTAGGGACCTGAAAAGGGAGAGGCCTGACTCTCCTCAGGTTCTGTGTCTGCCCCAGGGTGGGGCAGAAGAAAAGCTGGGTCCTGCTTCAGCAGCTGTGGGCCATCTCTGTCAGCTCCTAGGGGTGAAGCATCCCCTGTCCCCAGGACAGGAAACCGGTTCTCCCGGCAGCCCCCTCCCCATCTGCTCATGGCGGCCAAGCTTCTGTTTGGTTTTCCAAGACATTTAATTTCATTTCGTCCTTACTACCCAATAAGAGAGGTGAAAACTTAATCCCATTTTACAACGGAAGCAATTGAGGCTCAGGGAGCAAAGACTTGTCCCAGGAAAGTGGTAAAGCTGAGACTATAACTCCTTAGACCACAGAAGGGAAGCGGGGATGCCTGTTGGAGTTCGTAATAAAACTTCCTGGCGCCCCCCTTTCTCCACATCCTGGGACACGTCCCCAAACTTCCTCTGGAAATAAAGTTTCTGGTGACGAGGGTGGCACAGCCCTCTTCTTGGCCGCGGTGGGACCCGAGGGCGCCCCGGAGCAAGCAGGGCGGCAGAATCATCCCCCGACATGGGAGCCAGAGAACTTCAGAGCATTTCGCCCTTCCCCGGGACAGGCAAACACCGACACGTCTGTGTCTTTACCGACAAGTGCCTTCAAGCCCGGCGGGGGCAGACACCTCCTCTCCGGCCGCCGGCTAGGTCTCCGCTGTCTGCGGGGGCCACGGCCTCGCATCAGCTGCATCGATTTAGCGCGTTAGTGGGCCGCGGGAGCAGGAGGCGGCTTCCCGTACTGCGCAGCAGCGCCCGAGCCTCGGGCGACTCGGCAGCCCAGGAGGAGGGGAAGGGGAGAGGAGGAGGGGCGCCCCCCCCACGGGGCGCAGGGGGCGGGCGTGCGGGCACACGCGGTGCGCGGCGCTCCGGAGGGCGGGGGCGGCCACCGCGCCGCGCGGCCTGGGAGCACTGGGAGCCGCCCACTTCGCCGCGGCGGGCCCCGACGGCCGGAGCTTGGATGCGGCGGCGCCCGCCGAGCCGAGGCGGACGCGGGGCGGCCCGAGCCGGGGACACGCGCCGGTAGCCCCGGCACTGCAGCGGCCGCAGGATGGCCGAGGTAAGCGTGGCGCCCTCCCCGGGCGCAGGGCCCCCTCAGCGCGCAGGGCGGGGCGGCCGGGGACGCCGTTCGGACCCCGGGCAGGTCGGTACTCGGGGGTGCGCCAGGGGCCATCTCCCCGAGGGCCACTTGCGCGGCGGCGGCACAGTCCTTCCCCGAGGCAGGGTGTGAGGGAGCGTCTCTGCGGCGGGGAGGGCCCGTGGGGGCGCCCGGACCCGTCGCTGCCCGACGTCCCGGAGCCGCCCGACGCGCTCTGGTTGAGCGACCGGGGTTGGCGGGCGGGGGCGGGACCCCGGCGTCCCCGAGGCAGCCCCGGCGCGTCGAAAGTGCGGGATCGGGAGAGACTGGGCGGCCGCCTTCCGCACTTCTTCCCGCCCCCTCAGCACCTCGGCTTTCGGTCCAAGGACATTGGGACTGTTTCAACCGCTTTTACCTCAGAATTAATTAAACAGCTGATTTTTAAAGTGGCCTTTTTTTTTTTTTTTTTTTACCTGGATTTTGTTTCCGGAGAATTAAACGTACGGTAGCCTTCGGTCACTCGGAGAACTGCGGAGCGGGGTGAGGGACAGTGACGGGGCCTCCTGTCCGGGGCGGGGGGGGGAGGGATTGTCTACAAATCTTTTGTACAAAACTGCAAATGAAGACGCAGACAGGTCGGCCCAGGAAGCTTCCGGGACAGGATAGATTCGAGGGTGCAAGGTCAGGTTTTTATAAAGGTTACAGCTGACCTGCCGGGTGCGCGGAACAGTTCAGCGCTAGGTGTTTCCCCCCTGGTTCAGGCAGCCCCAGAAATCGGGGTCAGGCTCGAGGGTTTCCACGTCCAAGCCAGACACAGTGGGCTCTGGCTACTTGGGGACGGGCAGCCTGCAGGTGACAGGAGTGGACCGGGCTTCGGAGCCGGCGGCGGTACCCCCGCCGCACTCGGCATCGCCTGCAAGCGCCGGGGCAGCCGGTTCCGCGTCGCGGGTGTTGAACCTCGGCCGTACTCGGCTTCCCGGCCCCGGGGGCGCCGCGCTCGCTCGCCACCCGAGCGCCCAGGCGGGTCCCCGCTGCCGACCGGGCGGCGGGGCAGGGGACCGGGGGCGGGGGGTGCCCGAGGGCGGAGGAGGAGGTCGCGAAGTGGTCCCCGCTGCCCCTCAGGTGCTGCTGGCCAGACCCGGAGCCCCACCGGCCGCCTGGTTTTGCATAACCTCCTAAGGATTTGTCAGCCAGATGTGACAAGATTGTCGAGCAGAGAATGAAGGAGGAGATCTGATATTAATCAGTGCATAGCTTGGAGCCAAACTTTCTCAAATGCGGTGTAGAAACATGTTCTTCTCATTTAAGGCATCTCTTTGTGGCTGCGGGGCTGCCACCGGTCTGACTTTGACAGTTAAATGGAATGCCAACTAGCAGCCTTAATTGTATGAGTAAAGTTGTGTGTATTGTTGGGGGGAGGATCAGACACTCTAAGGTTCAGTAATGTTCCCTAGTTTTATGGCCATGCTCACCGCAGTCCTCTGAAGACAGGGCGCAGCCAGGCCTCTGCTGTTAACACTTAAGGGGCCTAAAAGAGGCCCCACTGGTGTCCTGGGAATCCCTGTCAGAGAGAGAGAGAGAGAGAGAGAGAGAGACCCATAGAGCAGATCTAGCAAGAACTTGTTAAAAATATATTCTTCTCATCAAAGCAACAAAGATTTTGGTTGGACAGTAAGTGAATTGAAAAACAGCATTTAACAGATCTTTTTTTTTTCTGGTGTCCTTTTATTCCTTGCTGTTTTAATTTGATACTGGATTTCATGGGATCTTTTCATAAGATTTCTTAGATTGCTTTTTGCAAATACGTGCTTACGTGTTAAAACTTTTGTTCAGTGATAAATATACTGGCTCCTCAGCTGTCCCCAAATCTGTTGATATATATTACTAAAATTTCATTAAAATTGAATACGTCAAAATAAAAATTTTGTGCATGATGTAAAAGAGCATTACTCCAAATGTTACAGATTGTCCAGGATTTGATTTTTGCTTTAAATAGGTGTGAAAAGATAGCCACAACTTTTGCTAAAATAAATTTTGATAAATAGCTTTATCTTTTTTGTCATACTTAAAAGAATAAGATGTGAGTCATTATTTGATTTCTCATCTAATAAGTTTGCTAACTTTAATTTCCCCAAGAAAGTGTTACTATTTCAACTCAACTGTGGTTGAACATGTTCTGTTATAGAAGAGGTGGTGAGATCTTAGAGCAAGTACTGCTCATACTCTGGGAACTCAAATATGTTCAGACATCTGCATAATTTAATTTGGAATATCACCTGTACCCAGAGTTCCTATTTCCTTCAGAATAGTAAGGATTTAGCAATGTGCCCCTTCTTCAGTCAGACAGAGAGAGTGGTTAGTTTGAAGTGGTTATTTGTCTGTTGACATCTACTGGGATGTGGAACGATGATCTGTTTGCTCTGGTTATAATTCACACTAGAAATGTTAACGAAAATGGAGTAATTGCAGTGGAAGCATAAAGTTTACATAGAGGGTTATCTTTATTTTATTTTAATTTTTATGCCTCTCCCATGTATCAGTTAGGCCTGCGTCCCAAGCCCATGCCCATATTCTGTACCTCAGAAGCATCAGCTTGGAAAGAAGGACGAACCAACCCATTGGGTGAGAAAAGCCATATCGGTTTCCCTGTGGAACAAGTAATAATTGTCCTTTAAGCATACACTTATTATTTCTGAATGCCTGTGGACAAATATAAATGGGAAAACATTTTAAAAGTTTAGTTTGTCAGTAAAATTAAACCACAGCATATGGGGTGAGGGGCATAAGTGTCTTCTAGCTTTTGTGTATGGCTTTAGAAGTTGTTTTGACAGTAGCCATTAAAGAGTTGCCCTGAAGGTTCCACAAGGTAAATTACTTGCAGGAGGAGCATGCTTTACCCCAGGGTGAATTTTCACCTCTACAGACGTCATTTAGAATGAGTTACTTTTGTCAGAAACAGTTCTGTTTAAAAAGAACTAGAAATATCTTAGCTAAGGTGAAATCTCAGTGCTAGAGTCAATAAATTTTCTAAATTACTTTATTCTGAGTATTCTGTAGATTTTTAAATTTTATTTATTTAGATATTTTATTTTTGATGACTTATCTGAGAGATATTAAAACTAACTGATTCTGCACAGAAGGGGCATCTGGAAAGGGTTGTTTTTTTGGTCTTTTTTTCCCTTTTAAATTGGTTTCCACCTGAAAACCTTATTTCCTCTTATCTTGTCATTCTTTGAAGCCCTTTTTCCTAATTCTGGAAATTCCACGATTCGGGTGCAGCCCCATTTCTCTACTCAGACACATGCCTATTTTATCCCAAAAGGGTGGGTCTAAACAGTGCAGACCTGCTTCACTCAGGGTCCAACTTGGGGCCTTCTCAAACTTCGCACAAATAAGCAAACCAGCTATCGCTGTTCCCGTCCACACATGGACTCATTATTATAAACCAGCCTAACATATCACAGGAGGATGCTGCCTTGGGGGTTGATAATTTCACTCAGCTAATGTGAGAGAAAAGAAAGATGGACAAATAAAATGTTGTGAAGGCCAGGTCCAAACAACCTATGTGGAGGGAAATGGTTGTCTCAGGTAAAGTTAATTCAGGCTGCTAACTTCTTTCATAGAGTTATATTAGTTTGTCTCCTCTTACACATTATTTGTGTGAGCCTTCAGTACATGCTAGCAAACATCAAAATTATTTTCCAGGTCTATATCAGCTTCCAGAAGCACTGTCCTTGCTCTGTAACCCTCTGATTATTTCTTTCGTTATTCATTATGAGGATAAAATTTTTATACAGACAGCTCTGTTTCACGATACACCATGCTGAATGTTAAGACAGTGATCAGGATGTCATAAGTAAGTCTGATCTTTTCTTTTCAAAAATTTCAATTGGAAAATCTAGGGGTTTTTTTACACTTCATTTTTAAAATCTAGTTCTCACTAAGTCCCTAGAAGAAATATTTGCAAAATTTTACTTAGCGATGTTCATAATGTCATCGTTATTTTACATCAGCAGCAATGGTGAAGTTACATTGTTTGTATAGTTGAAATTATCCTGAAGTGTAAATGTCTTGTTTTGTTTTGGTTTTTATTTTTTTCCTTAGGCTGACTGTTGTATCCAGAAGTTCCCTACATGTACAGTTAATGTCCTTTTGTTTTTTGTTGTCAAAGTTTTCTGAAGATTACAACTGAGGTCTCTGAAACTTAGGTTATAAAGGCAAAAAATGTCTCCGTATCATTTATATACCTGTATAGTTTTTTGTTGTTGTTGTTAGTTTTTTTAAGAAGAAATATTTGGTTTGGTTTCTAAGGTAGGATTCGCAGATTTTCCTACTTTTTATATTTTCTGTTTTTAGAACTAATAATTTTAAGGAAAAAGGCACAGCTGTTAAATTATTTTGGCACAGTTTATACTTTGATTTATAGAGATCAAAAGAACAAGTATTTTCCCCGTCTCCCTCTTTGAACTAAGCAGCAAGAGAAAACACTACAAGTGCCTCATGCATACTTTCTACTAACAGGTAGACTTGGCCCAACATCTGTTCCCTGAGTTCTACCTCCCACCTGCCGTTTCTCTGCCAGACCCTTCTCCACCCTCTCAGTCTTCTTTGACCGGCCTCTCTTCATCCCCATCCTTGCAGCGAGAAACCAGATTCTGTCAGTTCTCCTTTAGTGTCATTTTTATGTTGCAAATGCTACCTGCCTGGTTTCTGAGCCTTCCCAGGGTCCCCTCTTTCAACCATGCTCATGATAAATGGTGTCTTCCCATTGTTCAGAACGCTGATGGTTCCATGAACCCAAGAGAGAGACTCATGGCTGCCCATCTGGACAGCACCCCCCGCCTTTTGCCTTTCTCGGTCGGCTCTTGTTGCCCATGACAGAAATCTGTGCTCTGTGGCCCAGCCTCCTGGGCTTGACAGACATGTACAGGGTGAGCCTTCTTTACGCCTAGGACTGTGGCATTTCCTGCATGCACTGCTGA